AACTGTCGACAAGAGTGTATCTCCTTCCTTATCAGTATAAAAATGTCACCTTGATTCTTCTCGTTCCTGCTGCATCCATTGTTAAGGGAGAGCAAGATATCTCGACGGTGAAGAAGCAAATCATTGAAAACGTTCCTGAATGGCAGGAATCTTTACTCGCGTTAAACAAGCTGAGGGAAGATGCCGATTCAGAAAAGAGTCGGGCGAAACGGGGTGTGGAAAAGCCCGAGAAAGACGTGGAAATATGCATCATGACGAAGAACAAGGTTTGGAGGTTTGGGGTGGTAACTGTCGACGGAAAGAGCTTTACATGGCTCTGGAGAAAGCCAACGAAACCCTTCTCGACGCCACGGATGCCGTCGAAAGATTCAGCAACAGGTACTAACTAAACTATTTTTGGATACCCGAAACTCTCGAATACTACCACTTACTATTTTTGGATACCCGAAACCTGAAACCCGCAAAATAAAATATATAAAATAATAACAAGCTGTTTTGTTAGTAATCTTTGATACCTTACATGTAATGAGATCGTTGAAGATTCGTTATGGGATAAAAAAATATATATATATAATTTATGAAAAGACAAAAATTGAAATGGATAAATTGAAAAATATGACGTGTGAACCAGTCAGATTTGACAAGAGAAACGACAAAGTACTAAATTATTTTGGTAAACTCCGATTTCAATTTAATGAATGACCGTACGGACTTCGAGATGAATTCGTCGTCTCCATGACCCTCAAAGACAAACTTTTGAAATAGTAAAAGACTCTTCGCGTCTGAAAAGGTCATCATCACCACCAACCGCTTTAATTTATTACAATTTTAATTATAATATTAGTTTCAAAGAAGCGACATTGATTAGTTATTGATGAAAAAACAACTAATTGCGCTAATAACAATATTTACACAATGTACAATTTTCCCCCACTTATATACATAGGCTTGGAATTTCAGAGATAAGGATTGACGTGGGAGGAGTAGTCTCTGATGCCGGCTCCTTCCCAACCCATCCACTCCTCCCACATGTCGTAATCTGGATCGTTCATTCCCGTGAACCCTTCGTCCGCCCCTCCATCGAACGCCTCGAATTCCTCCGCCTCCTCCATTTGTCCCCTTATTTGCCTCATCACAATCTTCAAGCAACCAAGATACACATATATTATTACAACCTTCAAACAGTTTATGTTTTAATCTCCTGTTGATGTTTTTGTCTTGTCATTAGGTAAAAACATTTATCCTCATGGTTAATTATAACACGATAAACACGTTTCTTCACAGAAATTCTTCAACTAATCAGGCTTTGAGGAGAAAAAACAATTACACACAATGATTTGTTGTGGGGCCTATTAATGATCCGAAATCTGGGTTATGATCTAAAACATGAATCCAAAAGTCCGATTAATAAACACATACATCGTAAGCTTCATTGATGGTCTGAAACTGTACACCGCAGTTGCTTCCTCTGCATACATCGGGATGATACTGCGAGAGAAAGGGGAACAGAAAACACAACCCAGAACACAAATTAATGGAATCATTCGATCGAATCAGGCGAATCTATGAATAAATTCTTGAGATTCGAAGGAACCCAGAAAACCTAATCGACCAAAGTTTTGATCTTTCGTTCCTCTTTCCGAGTGGGTAAACTACGATCGATCTGATTGTTCATGGGATTCTCACCTTCAACGCCAGTTGTCTGAAAGCTTTCTTGACCTCGTATTCCGAAGCATCGGGTCGGATCTTGAGTGTATGGTACGGATCCATCACGGAAGACGACGAAGAAGAAGAATAAGAACAGGAGACTCTTGTCCTGTTGAGCATCTTCGTGTTCTTCCTTCTGCTCCTGAATCGAAACGATGAAGAAGACGCCGATGATGAAGATGAACCCGGAAAACCCGAGAACCCGTTTGCTCCAATCGTCAAAGCAGTCGTCATTTTTTTTTTCCTGGAAATTTTTGAAGCAAGATTCTTTTTTTTTTTTTTGGTTGTAATAATGGATTGGATTGTGGATAAACAACGGGGGCTGTATATATAGAAACCGGAGATATGGATAGTGATGAAAAAGTAACGTCCTTATCCGTAAAGCAACCGATTTTTTAGGGAATATTATAAAAATAAATTTTTTTTTAAAATAAACATTTTTTTTTTTTTGCGATGACCGAGTCTGGACTTTTGTATGGTATACCGTATTAACGCATGTGAAAGAGTGGTAAATTATGAATATCTGGTGCCTGAAAATTCCATATCGTAGAAAACGCAAACGTATTTTTAGGACATTTACGATAAGATCATATTTGGGGTTGCATATGCATATTTAATAATAAAAAAATAATAATAATAATAACAGATTACAATATATTTTTTCATATTTAGGACATTTATAATAGATCATCTGTCTTTTTTCATATTTAGGACATTCATAATAGATAAATCTGTTTTTAGGTGGATGCACAATAGGAAAAATATATTAATGTAATTATGTTGAGGTAAAAACTCTTCGGGGCCCATAATGGGCCGATAACAAATCTGGGCCTAGCATAAGGCAACGCAAGGTGAGTCCAGTTAGGCTTTTGGCTCTTGTTACGCGCAGATTTGGCGCGTGAGAGTCACAGACACAAATTCTCTGGACAATTTTTAAAGAAAGTAGAAAATCAGGCGCGTGGACTTCTCAACGCTTTTTTTTTTTTTTTTAGAATCTAGAATTTGGCTCAGTTCTAATATAAAATACCCACTATATTATTCTAAATTTAAAAAGAAAAAATCGCCTACATAATAATAGAAAAGTTGGGAAAAGAAAGATGTTGAAAAATGCATAAATAAAAAGATTAAAAAAACACCAATTAAGGGATTTGAAACCTTTCTTGGAAATTTAATCAATCCATTAATGAACCTTTATGAAATCTGAAGATTCTGAACCGTATTTAATAAATATTTCAAATATATCATCTGCATTCAATCTGAAGATCTTGTATCTATAGATCTCTTTCCATTCTTAATCATTTCTAGAATTGTTATAAATATTTTTTTTTGATAGGCAGGTATAAATATTATTGTGATATAACTACAAATAACCTAATTTCAATATATATTTTACTAATATAAAACGCATGTAAATTTCAAACTATTAGATATTTATTTTGTTTTGGCGTCTTTCAACTTCAGAAGAAAAAATAATAATCGGACGTGGACAAAGTCATAGTCAATCAAACATATATGAAAGGGAGAATATTAAAAATAATATTTTGGAAATACTTTTAATAATTCCTTCTTTCCAAAATGAAATAAAAATTGGAAGAATATTCCCATCACACATTTGAAGCTCCTCCGAATTATTATTATTATTATTATTATTATTATAAGGTTGTCTGAAATCAATTCTCCAGGATAAATCCAGAGCCTTACAACAGTGTAGATTCTGGATCAACCTTCAACTCAATGCTCTCGGTTTCATGTACAAATTCACTTCTTTTGTTCTTCAATATATATATATATATATATATATATATATATATATATATATATTTTGCATAGAAACTAATTAAAGATAAGCCCTCATGCTCCTAATAACCTGTGATGAACTCTTGTGGATATGACTTGTAACTCACATAACCGCTACAACACTAAATCAACATCACAACTATTTTTAGAAAAACCATTAATTGGGACGAGACAACATAACAAATAGTATGAAAACAAATCGAATAACATATGCTTAAAAATAATGATTTTAATATATTTAGTTACTCTTCTTTTTTGTGGTTAGATGTATATTAAATAATAATATCAAGAGAGATTATTACATGTCTTGTTTTCAGCCCGACTTTGAGTTCCAAATTGAGAAAGTAAATATGAATTCTAATCACATGGTTTGTTTCCGATTTTGGGATTAGTTTGGATCTCGATTCATAACTTCCGATTATCCAAAAATAAATATCGAGGGACAATTTCCATATATATATGAAATTGTTTTTTGGGTAAAGTTTTTATCCAGGTGGATTCGAACTCGGGTGAGAAGATTCTTATCATTTTGCATATATATATATATATATATATATATATATATGAATTTGCATTTGTTCTTTGTGGAATAAAGGTAAAAAAAGACAGATTCCTCCATGTCAATTGGGGCCATTCTCTTATAGACTATACGGGCACGACTCATCTTTCTTTCTTGTTTGTTCTTTTCGTTACTCCAAATTCACGTTGTTTTCATTCATCAAACGATGGCCCCTCTCTCTCTCTTCCAAAATAGAGATCAATATCTATCTTATGTATTTTTATGACGAAATATATTTTGATTTTGATTTGGGATATGATCATGCAAGTGTGTTAATACAATAGGTGATGCAACTAGAGAAACTTACCCAACTAGTGTTATTCGATGATGGCATAAATTATGGGACTAATTACATATTTATATTCTCTTAAACTATTTGGACAAAAGGCGAGATTAAGATGCTAAAAAAATTCTTGTAACGACAATTAGTGAATATTTGTTAATTTAATCTTTTTTAATCTGTTTTTTTTTTTTAATCTCTTGCAAATATCTTGGGCTTTTGTTAGTTGGGTCTTGATCTCTTTTCAATTAGGCTTTAGATTCCCACTTCTCGGCCCATGTATTTCGTACCATTTAATGTCAAATACGGATGTGTACGGACTCGGTCCATATTCTATATTTGTGGACCAACGTGGTATGGTCAGTAGTAACAGATGGAAAATTTAGTTTTGTGATTATTATCCTTGCTTTATTTTTTTTAAAATTTATTCACATTTCATTTATATATTCATAAACCTCAATATTTACTTTATCTAGCGCGACCAAATTCTTTTGGTTTAAAAAGGAAAACGTAATTTTATTACATTAAAAACTCAAGAAATATGAAAACACACAAATCATAAACTTATTATATGATCACACTCATACATTGCTTAGTAAACTTTCACCAAAAACAGAGTACCAAAAGGTCAACACCCCAAGCATACATTATCATCATATCTTTCACACTTCAGTCAACCTCTTCAATCTTGGGACCTGCCGAACCACCGGACCCGGACCCGCCTGAGCCGCCATTCGTCGGCATACCTCGGGCCGCACCAGCTCCGGCCCCACCGTACATCTTCGAGATTATCGGGTTGCAGATTCCTTCCAACTCTTTTAACTTGTACTCGAACTCATCAACTTCAGCCAACTGATTCCTGTCGATCCACTCGATCGTTTCATCGATCGCCTTCTCGATATTCTGCTTATCCGCAGGATCCATCTTCTCCGCGAATTTCTCGTCCCTCACGGTGTTCCTCATGTTGTATGCGTAATTCTCGAGCGAGTTCTTGGCCTCGACCTTCTTCTTCACCTCCTCATCCTCCGCCTTGTACTTCTCCGCCTCTTGAACCAATTTCTCGATCTCTTCCTTGCTCAGTCTCCCTTTGTCGTTCGTGATCGTGATCTGGTTCTTCACACCAGCGGTCTTGTCCTCGGCCGACACGTTCAGAATGCCATTAGCGTCGATGTCGAAGCAGACACTGACCTGGGGGACGCCACGTGGCGCAGGAGGAATGCCCTTGAGCTCGAATATTCCCAGGAGGTTGTTGTCTTTGGTTCTTGCGCGTTCTCCTTCATACACTTGGATCAGAACACTCGTCTGGTTGTCTGAATACGTCGAGAACACTTGCTCTTTCTTGCAGGGAATGGTAGTGTTCCTCGGGATCAGAACAGTCATCACTCCACCTGCTGTCTCGATTCCGAGGCTCAGAGGTGTGACGTCGAGAAGAAGTAGATCTTGAACCTTTTGGCTTCCTTCGCCTGTAAGAATGGCGGCCTGGACAGCAGCTCCATAGGCGACAGCTTCATCAGGGTTTATGCTCTTGCAGAGCTCCTTGCCGTTGAAGAAATCTCGTCGACCCTCCGACAAGAACCACCTCATGAACACGGCTCTTGTCGATTTTCGAGTCTTGAAGGACTTTCTCGACAGGATCCATGCATTTCCTGAAGAGATCCATGTTCATCTCCTCGAACCTCGCCCTCGTGATCGTCGAGTAGAAATCAACTCCCTCGTGCAAGGAATCGATCTCGATGCTCGTCTGCGTGGTGGAAGAGAGCGCCCTCTTCGCTCTCTCGCATGCAGTCCTCAGCCTCCTTAAAGCCCTAGCGTTTCCACTGATATCCTTCTTGTGTTTCCTCTTGAACTCTGCAACGAAATGGTTCACAAGCCTGTTGTCGAAATCTTCACCTCCCAAGTGGGTGTCTCCCGCCGTAGCTTTCACCTCGAACACGCCTTCTTCGATCGTCAACAGCGAAACATCGAATGTTCCACCGCCCAGATCGAAAATCAGAACATTCCTCTCGCCGGATTTTGTCCCTTTCTTGTCCAACCCATACGCAATCGCCGCCGCTGTCGGCTCGTTGATTATCCTCAGAACGTTGAGCCCTGCGATTGCTCCGGCGTCCTTCGTCGCCTGTCTCTGCGAGTCGTTGAAGTAAGCTGGCACCGTTACGACAGCGTTTTTAACGGCGTTACCGAGGAAGGCTTCTGCAACTTCCCTCATCTTCGTCAACACCATTGAAGATATCTCCTCTGGAGCAAACTGCTTCTCTTCGCCCTTGTACTTGACCACGATCATGGGTTTGTCGCCGGGACCGGAAACAACCTTAAACGGCCAGTGTTTCATGTCGCTCTGGACGGATGGGTCGGAGAATCTCCGGCCAATGAGACGCTTGGCGTCGAAGACAGTGTTCTGAGGGTTCATCGCCACCTGGTTCTTCGCAGCATCTCCGATTAGCCTTTCCGTGTCGGTGAAGGCCACGTACGACGGCGTCGTACGGTTGCCTTGGTCGTTGGGGATGATCTCAACACGATCGTTCATCCACACTCCGACACAACTGTATGTCGTGCCCAGATCGATGCCGATCGCCTTATCTGCTTTTGTCGCCATCCGTGCAAAAAATCAAACCTTTCCAGAAAAAAAAAACAGAATCTGGATGCTGATTCCACTGAAAGCTACTCTAAGAATCTCTGATTCAAGTCGCAGTCGTTACCGATTTCTGTGTTTTCTCTTCTGTCGGATGTGTAATCCGAGAGGATGGAAAGGTGTATATATATGCGTTAGATAGATATAATCAGATATCTCGAGAGACATTGTGTAGAAGCCGCTACGGAGATACAGAAAAATGGAGAGACGGGACAAGAAGTACCAGAGATTTCTAGATTTCGCCGGCGCTCGGAGGGTAATGATATTTTCTCCGGCAGATTTTTGCCAAGTGTCCCTTTGCTAGATTTCTAGATGAGTCAAACTATAAGCCCATTCCGGCCCATATAAGAAGCCCAATATAACACTGCCAATACGGGCATATAGTTCAGGCCCATTAAGGCCCAATATACAAGCCTTTTCCTTTTTGTGTCGTCTTCCCCCCCGTGTGATCCGACGCTCGGTTTGACGAGAAAGCCATGAGAGAGGCGAAGAAGAAGAAGAAGAAATCGGAAACTACCATTGCTGTATTCGGTGATGGTTCGGTATCAGGTTCACGAGCATTTTCCGTTTACTTGGTTTCTGGGTTATTCCTGGTTGTTGGATTCTGGGTGGCCCATCATGTCTACGCCGCCGATCTCATATCCAATCCATCTTTCACTCTCCTTCTCATCTGGGTTCGTTTTGTCGTTGATTTTTTCAAGTTCTTGAGCTAATCGTTCAGTTATTTTGTCCTGATTCGATGTTTTTCCTCTTCAGAGTATTGAATTTCCGGTTGTGGTAATCGCCTACAGCTTGTTCCGACGAGACGCAGATGAATGCCCAGTGAGTTTTCTTTAATTTCTGAATTTTCTTTTTATTTCATGGAACTTAAGAGGAAAGAAAAGGAAGCAACTTTATCGTTTCTCTCGTGCTCATAATGAGTTTTTGTCCTTCCTTTCCAGTATTGGAGAGCTGCTGCGCGAAGCGTTGTAGGGTTAGTGACTGGTTAGTCATTCAGCTTCATTAGAGTTTATCCATCGACATCATGATTACGGTTATAATTTATTCATTTGTGCAATGGATTTGGGTTCACATGAAAATTCAAGTTGCTTAGCCAGAACCAAAGTTTGACCATGTTCAGTCTCGCTCATCTTTACTCTTGGCCATAGCTTCTGAAGGATTATTCTGCACTTTGTCTGGTTCGGTTCCATGATTGATTCATCTGTATATTAGATAGATATCATCAACCATTCAGAACTTTTGAAGGGTTGGAAAGATTGATGAATTTGTCCAAGCCTCTGTCGTGTTTTTGATTGTAGGGGCTCTGATAAACGCTTCAGGAGCAATTGCTTTGGGCGCACCTGTTGGCTTGCAGTATGTTCCTTTAAGACCTTGTTTCTCAACGTCTTCATATATTACTGAAATCAGGAATGCTCTTCAAACAAAACAAATTCTTCAGCCCGATAACGATTTGCTCAGTTTCTTCGAAATTGTTGATGATTTGGACCTCCTCGATCATATTACCATGTCTCTGCGGTATACTGATACAGTGTTTGCCTGCCCCATGCATGCAGATATCTATGGAAAACCATTAATTGGTCTTTTCTAATGTCTGTTTTCACGGTAGGCTCCCCAGCTGAAATTCTTGCCAACAGCGGTCTCGATAACATCTCTGATGCGTAAATATTGACAGAAGTTCCAGGACATCCCTTAGATTGTGTCTGATTGTTTTGCTTCTCACAGTTTGTTCCAGCAGCTGCAGTTTTTGGTGCATCATGGGCAGATTGGCATCGTGCCTATGCATGTATGAAGTAAGTCATAAACTTTGTATCAGAATTCACACACCATATTCGTTGTGATCCCACAGCTGCAAAACCCATCTGATAATAGAGCTTAAAATGTGTCAGCCATTGATCCCTAGATTTGTTCCTTCAGACCAACTGCAAGTAGAGAATATATGATCGTTGTTCCGGCCTATGGAGCTATCATTGGAGCATGGTTTGGAGCTTGGCCTATGCCACTCGACTGGGAAAGGCCATGGCAGGTATATATCTCTCCATTACTGATATGCATTGAGCCTTTCCTTGCCCATTATTTATCCTTTGCTCATGACCATTCTCTTGATTAATTAGCCATATGGTTTGATCAGAAAGAACTTCTGAGCATGTGGCTAACCTTTGCATGACGATATATCCGCGCAGGAATGGCCCGTATGTGTGAGTTATGGAGCTATTGTCGGCTATGCATTCGGACAGCTGGTTTCCTTGGTTTTGATTCTTCTCGAGAAGAGACGACTGAACAGGAAGCGGGATTAGTCTGTTTGTTTACTGTCCAAAGTTTTGTAGATCACATTTTCATGGAGCACGAGTTTAAGTTCACCATTGATGTTCTTTCGCCTATCCCCTGTCTATTTCAGTTGTTGTACTGAAAGAAATGATCTTGACTTACCATTATCACCCGCCTGTCAAGAAACAGATGTACAAACACTGAACATTCATTACAAAGATCTTAGGTTCCATTCAAACAAGCTTAACAGTGGAACAGAGGTTACAGATCCTTGGTCATAGGAGCCAAGGTTGTAGAAACAGACAAGAAAAAGGAAGAGACTTTTTTTTTTGTTTTCTCGGGTGACTGATGTTAGTGGGAACCATGTCGATTCTGTTACATGTAATGTCATGTAAAGGAAAAGGGTTGGTGCAATATGAGGAGACAGAGAGATTGGGAAAACTTTGTAATAAGTTGTAATCATGAAATGTTTTGAAACAAAGGAATTTGATTGGACCCAAATCTGTTTCCTTGATTGCTGTTTCTAGTGGCAAACAATACAAGAACCGATCAAAAGCAAAATGTACCAACTTGCTCGATTTAAAAAAATTATACCCCAAAGACAAGTTCCTTCATTTTTTTTTTAAAAAAAAATCTTTTTTTTTCTTCATGTTTTACAGCTATTTGGAATTATTATTTACCAGCTTTCTTATCAATACACTGTTTACAAAAAAGAAAGATCCATTTGGGGTATGTTTAATGTAATTCATTCTTTATACGCCATTTATTAATAGCGTTTTATTTAGAAAAAAAAAAGACTAAACTTTTTAATTTTGACAAAAAAAACATCAGAATTCAAGATTTATGTACGATTTTGGCATTAGTAAAACAAACTGATATGAATCCGAATCATGGGATATACAGGTGGGAAAAGATTTTTAAATTTGGTGTACCCAACACCTAGGAAAAATGGATATACATATCATAGAAGCAGCTTAATAATATTGGAATGAAATGTGAAAATATTTGGCGTGTAACTGTGAGAAAAATCATGTGAAGGAACAGCATGTGAATGAGAAATAAAAAGAGAGGGGAGTGGGGTCATATTATATATATATATATATACACACATACATACATATACATACATATATGTATATATATATTACGATAAGTTTGTGACAGTTAGATTCCCTTGAAAGGTGAGGAGTCCCTTCTTGTAGATGAAAGCCGATCACAAACCCAAACCACTCTTTATGTATACATTGTATTTAATTACCATTTTCCTTTACGTGTTCTCTTTTTAAATTAATTAAAAATATTATATACGCATCTTTATGGATGATCGCTCCATATATAAATCCTATATCTTAGATATCTCATCTTATAGATGTGGCATCTCATTAGATTTTATTTTACTAACATGTAGTGGAATCTTATATTGTGGAAATGATATATAGTTATTTTTACTAGTTGGTGCATTTTATCCCATGTTAAGACAATTGACGCAGCATATATATATATATATATAGCCGACACGTTCAGAATGCCATTAGCGTCGATGTCGAAGCAGACACTGACCTGGGGGACGCCACGTGGCGCAGGAGGAATGCCCTTGAGCTCGAATATTCCCAGGAGGTTGTTGTCTTTGGTTCTTGCGCGTTCTCCTTCATACACTTGGATCAGAACACTCGTCTGGTTGTCTGAATACGTCGAGAACACTTGCTCTTTCTTGCAGGGAATGGTAGTGTTCCTCGGGATCAGAACAGTCATCACTCCACCTGCTGTCTCGATTCCGAGGCTCAGAGGTGTGACGTCGAGAAGAAGTAGATCTTGAACCTTTTGGCTTCCTTCGCCTGTAAGAATGGCGGCCTGGACAGCAGCTCCATAGGCGACAGCTTCATCAGGGTTTATGCTCTTGCAGAGCTCCTTGCCGTTGAAGAAATCTCGTCGACCCTCCGACAAGAACCACCTCATGAACACGGCTCTTGTCGATTTTCGAGTCTTGAAGGACTTTCTCGACAGGATCCATGCATTTCCTGAAGAGATCCATGTTCATCTCCTCGAACCTCGCCCTCGTGATCGTCGAGTAGAAATCAACTCCCTCGTGCAAGGAATCGATCTCGATGCTCGTCTGCGTGGTGGAAGAGAGCGCCCTCTTCGCTCTCTCGCATGCAGTCCTCAGCCTCCTTAAAGCCCTAGCGTTTCCACTGATATCCTTCTTGTGTTTCCTCTTGAACTCTGCAACGAAATGGTTCACAAGCCTGTTGTCGAAATCTTCACCTCCCAAGTGGGTGTCTCCCGCCGTAGCTTTCACCTCGAACACGCCTTCTTCGATCGTCAACAGCGAAACATCGAATGTTCCACCGCCCAGATCGAAAATCAGAACATTCCTCTCGCCGGATTTTGTCCCTTTCTTGTCCAAACCATACGCAATCGCCGCCGCTGTCGGCTCCGTGT